TGTTGATCGACGTCAATGGTGTTGCTTATGATCTTACTATTGTCAGCTGCTGCAATAAAATCCTGATCATCTTCCGTCGTCTGGGACTGAGAGGAGCTTTCTTCTTTGTCAGTTGGGAAAATAGGGTCCAGCTCTAGTACTTCCTCATTGAAATTCCATCCACTTATCATTCTTTGCTTGACAGAGTAATCAAGGGATGCTTCGTCGCTGTCATCTTCATGTACATTTACATCGGCGCTGCAAATCGGTGGAGGATGATCTACTATGATTTTCTTGAACCTCTCTTCAACTGTGGGCAACCCTTGCAATAAATTCTTGGTGAGGAAATCTGGGGTCCCGCAGTTCTTGAGGAAGGGATGCTTCAACAACATCTCTGCGGTGGGTCTCTTCGATGGATCTTGATTTAGACAATCTTTGACCATCTCTTTGAAGTTCTTTGAAAACTTACTCTTGTCTTTTGTGTTCTTCCTGTAGTCTTGAAACTTGGTGGCGAATTTCATCACCAGAGATTTTGAGGGAGGAAGATGAGAGAGTGGAGGTCGACCATGAGAAAGCTCTAATGCCGTAATCCCAAATGTCCAAATATCAGCCTTGAAGCTATACCCAGTGTGAGAGTATATCACCTCTGGTGCCATCCAATAAGGTATTCCAGCCACACCATTGAATTTCATGGATGACGGACTGGGTTCGTAGATTGACGCAGAGACACCGAAGTCGGCGAGTTTAATAGACCCATCTGAAGCAACCAGAATGTTCCCAGCCTTGATGTCTCGATGGACCTGGCCTTGGTCATGGAGGTACATGAGAGTGTTGAGGGTTTCTCTCAAAATGATAGCTATGCAGGGCTCCGGCAAGCCATCAGGGAAAGACGAAGAGATGATGGATTGAAGAGACCCACCAGACATGAAGGGCATGACCACCCAGAGATGACGATCGACTGTGAACGAACAATGGGCTCCAAGTTGGCTTTGGATCGATCAAGATCGATTGGATTGATTGCCACGGCCGATGAGTTCGACAGGCATTCAGCCTTGTAGGCAATTGCGCTTACACCATCGCCGATCATGGCAAGTATCTTGTAGGAACTGTGATCGAGAGGGTATTGATGATTCTGTCGAGGGTCCTCATCTTGTTGGGCCTTGGACGACTGACGTGGGTCAGTTACGTTCTTGATAGTTTCAGACTTCAGAATTCAGGTTGATTGAGGGTGATGGTTTTCTYAGAGAAATGTTGTATGGGTTTCTTGRAAGGAGATTGAGGAAGAAGATCAAAGGTCGTAGAGTGGAAAGGTTAATTAATTTCTGGTGGGTTTTCTTGTGATGAAGAAGTGAAAAATTAAGAAGCTAGAGTAGTAGATATATACAGGATAGGTTGTTGCGGGCTTTTAACTTGTATTTCTAGAAACTAAGCACGTGGAACTGCAGGAGAGGAGGAATGTCATTACACCAATACAGAGATCAGGACATGAAAGGACAATCGTTGGTATGGTAGGGGCTCAGCCGCTACTTGCAGCGAGAAGGTGAATAGTTGTTTGTCGAGAGGATATTTGGCTTGTGTGCGCGATGGTATTTGGGCGCAAACTAAATCGGCGACTAGTTTGGTTGAATCTGTAGAGTCGCTTCAACGATGTATAATGGGAGAGCTGGCTAGCCTGGCTTCGATGATGTCGAGGAAGAAAGTTAGGGTATCGAACAACGAATCAGAAGGGAGGGAAAGTTCAATATTAAAATTAAAACTAAAATTAAAAATGAATATTTCTATTTTTAATATATATATATATATTTATATATTAATATTAAATACAATTTACAGTAAGAATGGCAACAGGGTGGGTTGGGGGCGAGGATGATATTGTCCGCCCCCGATCCCAATTCTGAAATTAACCCATCCTTGTAACCAATCCCCCTCGGGGATAAAATTTGTCCTCCATCTCCGATCCCCGACGGGATGGGTTCCCCACTCATTGTTATTCAGTATTCTTTGCAATAAAATATAATTAATTTATTTTTTAATTATTTTTGTATTTTAATTAGGATATATTTTTTGATTGGCATGCCCTACTTGGTCATGATTAGGGGGTGAAAGTTAGGGTTGTCAATGGGTTGGGTTTGGGTCGGGTCTAGTTGGAATCAAAACCGACTCGATAAGAAATTTTAAGGACCTAGAACTGAATCCGGTTTGAAAGGGTTTGTAATTTTTAGACCTATAACCGAATTGACCGGTTCTTGGAAAGTTCAATATTAGGGTATCATATATATATATATGATGTTGATGAAGAAAGTTAGGGTATTGATCAATCGATGAGAAGGGAGGGAAAGTTCAATATTAAAGTTAAAATTAAAAATGATCAATCGGGGATAAAATTTATTCTCCATCCCCGATCCCTTACGGGGATGGGTTCCCCACTCATTGTTATTTAGTATGTTTTGCAATAAAATGTAATTAATTTATTTTTTTAGTATTTTAATTAAACTTTAGGCTTTTCAGAAATTTTGAATTTTTAATTAATTTTTGATGTTTTTTCATTATTGTTTAGTAATTTTTGCTTGAGTATTTTTCAATAATTTTTTATTGGCACGCCTTACTGGATCATGATTAGGGGGTGCAAGTTAGGGCTGTCAATGGGTTGGGTGTTGGAATCGAAATCGACCCGATAAGAAATTTTAAGGACCTATAACTGAATGGACCGGTTCTTAGGGCAATTGGCTCTAAGGATAATGTATTAGGACCTGAAATCGACCCAAATCGATTTCTTGTCCATCAGGTTGTGCTCGACCCATTGACAGCTACAAGTTTGGCTAGGTTATGTCAAGTATTGGCATACCAAACCAGACCTGAGTTGTGGAACACTCAACCATAACATTAATCCAACTTGAAAGCTTCAATTAGGTTGGGTTCATACTTTTTAACTCTAACTTTACCTTAAATATTAGCCTAATCCAACCCTCCTCAATTTTTTCAAGTTGTTTGCCTAGTCATGCATGGAGAAACTAGTTATTTAATTAATGATTACCCATGAGAACTCTGCCCATGAGTTGTGGAACGACTCTAGATCTCCTGCCCATGAGAACTCTGCCTACGTTTATCGTAGCCATACATGGAGAACATCTCATCCTCTACATAGTCTTATGGAGGGGGAGATGTTCCCAATTCATGGGGGTTAGTGTATTGTGGGTAGGCATGGGCAAAATTCTCGTGGGCAGGAGATCTAGAGTCAAATTGAACACTCACCCCTAATTAATGAACAAACTAGTTATTTAATTAATGATTACCAATAAAATAACAATTATAATATAATAGACAACATTATTAATTAATTAAAATAATATTTAACATTTAATTAATTAATAAGTGTTATTGGAGTTGCTTTACCTACTATTTTTCATTTTTTTTACAACCAACCAATCAAATGTAAATATTTTCCACCTATTTATTTACCTATCATTACTACAATTAATGTATATGTATTTGAATTAAAATGAGAGTATACTTAATATTTGAATATAAATTTTTAATAATAATGAATAAACAAATAAAAATAAATAATTAATTATTTCAAAACATTAGTTATACTAATAAAACTAAAAAATAAGTTGCAAAGATTTAAACTATCACTTAATATATAAACATATTTCTATATGTATTATCAAATTAACTATAATTAATTTAAGAAATTAAATAATAATAACAATGATATGTGGTGGTAGTAGTAGTAATAATATACTAACATTACTTAGCATGAATAACTAAAAAATTAATACTT